ACTGCGAGGCCGTCATAGCCGTTAGGAGGGCACGAAGGTCATTGTGGAAGCAGCGGGGCGGCGAGTGGCCACTGGTGGTGATTCGAATTCGAAACACGCGTCTGGCAGCACCTTACCTGCGATCGGCCAGTTGATAACCTTCCCCATTCGGCTTCTCGCAGGACACAGACGTCCCTCGGCGCTGTTGCACAACAGTACTAGTGCCCACGTTACAGTGGGAAGTAGATATGCCTTGTCGTTTTCACCACTGCCACGGTTTGTGCTTGTCTACATCTCTCCGCGTGTGCGTATGGAAGACCTCGTAAGGAAGACGACCTTGCTGGCATTTCTCCTTGTGGCTTTGCTCGTCCTCGTGTTGTTGCAACTACGCCAGCTGTTGACGCATAGCACGGCTCGTCCGCGAAAGAAGGCAGCGAAGAAGGACGGCAAAGGAACGAACGCTAGAAAGGGGATGAGCGATGATAGTCTTCCTGCGGGACGGATGTACTGGATGGGCACGGGGGTGAGCATTGGGGTTCCTGACGGAATGCGTTACCGATTCGATCCTGCGCTGTACGCACACCTGCCTTCGTAGATGCAGCCTTTGCCGGATGATGAGGTATAGGTGCAACTACCTTCCACCCTTCCTTTCGTTTGGGGGTCGACACAAACCTCGTACGAGCTTGCCCCTCGAATTGATCACCGCGGCCCGGGGATGGGTCCGATGTCCTCCCTCTTGGCGGATCCCGCTTGTGGGGGGTCTGATCCTCTACGACTGCACTTCTCGCCGATTTGCACAATGGATGCCTCCAGAACCGTGCTCGCAGTTGGTCGCAAGGTGGGGTGTCCGTGACAATGTAGGACGCCTGTGAAGACGGAACAGTGACACAGCAGCCGCCGATGTCATCATCAGCATGCAGGGGGAGCCATAGCGTTTTGCCATCCTCCTGCGGTCCGGGACGCTCGCCACTGCAGCAGACCTGTCCTACAAGAATGGTGGCGAGAGCAACTGCTGCAGAGTCCCCCCAGGTGATAGAGAGGATCATAGCGAGGTACTCGAGGATGCGTACCCACGTTGAAGCGGATGAGGGAGGTGTGCAGGGGGCGCAGGCTGAGGAAGTGGCTGAGGGGGAGTGCACGGATGACGAGGAGGAAAGCGAGGAGGATGACGACGTTGTGCTGAAGGAAGTCACACTGAAAACCGCGAAGAAAAAGACGACGAAGAGTCGTGGGAAGTCGAAGGCGAGAGATGGTGGAGGGGATGCTAATGGCGAGGCAGGTGGAGGAAGAAACTAAAAGAATTGGGATTTGGACGATTCGCTCGTCCTTGTCCGCTGCAAAAGGGATGTTGACGATCAAATGGCCAGCCAAAGGAGCAACTTCGCGCGTATGAAGACGAAGACGTGGAAATGGAAAGAGATAGCAAAGCATACGGCCCAGCAAAGGGTTACAAATAGAGATGGAGACTCGTGCATGAAAAGGTGGGAGAACATCTTCGGGTGGTACACGAAAATCTGGGATGGGGAGAAAGACTCTGGCCTGCAGTCTTTTTTCCTGTTGACATCGAAAAAACGGACAAAACTGAGGTATAAGTTCGCGATGTATTGACAACTGTACAATGCATCCACACGACTACACCCAACAATCAGGCCATACACCCGCCTAATCTATGTGACACCGGTGGACTTCCTCCCCAACAAGCAAATGAGAGTGAGCAAAGCCAAGCTAGAGGTCGGACGTTTGACGGGGAAACGTCCGGGAGCAACAACATGGAAAGCAGTGTCGTACCCTCGTTCACCGTTCACGGCCCTGGTGAACGCGGGCCGGTCACCAGTTATGTTTTTGGTGACCGGTTGGAGTTCACAGAGTTCACGCAGAGCGGGAACTTCGTTTTTTTTTTTTTTTTGGCTTGTAGGGGGGTATTTTCTTTGCACACGTTTGTTCTCCATGTCAATAGGCACCTGCCTATGTTTTCTTTTTTTTTCCGATTGGAATATATTTTTTAAATTTTATTGAAAAAAAAAAAATCAAGTTCGGCTGTGTTAGGCATGGCTTTCGTTGGCCGTGTGGGGCATTCGGCCAAAAAAAAAACAATTATGATGATATTATGATGACATCATGAGCTGCGGAAGGCTGCCAGCCATACTAAAAAAAAGTCGGGCCTCATTTCCTTCAGGGCCCTGCGCCAACACCCCACCCACCTCCACCCCCCAATTTTATTTTATTTATTATTATTTTTTTTCTAAGATACCTGTTCTGTTTTTTTTTTTTTTTTTTTTTTTTTAAGATTTGAAGGGACGGGGGTGTAGAAGGCCCCCGCACCACCCCCCTGCCACACCGATGCTGACCGTACCGGCGCCCAGGTGAGCGGAAAAGCCGTGAACGGCCGTTCACTGATTTTGGCCCCGGTGACCAGCCGGTTAGGTTCCGGTGCAGGTGCCGGACAGGTTCAGGTGACCGGTGCCGGTCACGTTCATGGGACCGGCACGGATGGAAAGGGACTCGGGGGAAGGTATGGCAGCAGGTCTTTAGGGGGAACACCAGCGAGGAAGCGGAAGAATGCGAGGCAACTCACCTTCGATGCTGTGACGGACGTGATGAAGACACATTCAACGGTCGTCGCGGATTCTGTGGATCGTGCTATCAAGCGTCAATGCGATGTGCTGCAACGACAATGCGACATCATGGAAAAAGAGGCGAGGACGCAGGAGAAACAGTGCGAAGTGGTGGAAGCTAGTCATCACATGTTGTGCGATGCTTTGCTGAAGATAGCATTTGCGTTGGCTCGGAGATGATTGCAATCGCTTTGGTGCACGGCGGAATGTATGACGACCCGCCCCAACCAATTAGCAGATGGCAACCCATTTTTTCGCACGCTATTCGCGCCGTTTTTTTAGTCCCATCCCTCTTTTTTTTCCCCTTCTCTCGATGTCTTGTCAGTCGCACGGTCGTGCACAGCGGATTTAATGCTGCTGTCCGTCGATGGGCGGAGGCCATGGGACGGCTGAACGTTAGGGGGACGGCGGACGTCGATGAGGACATCCCGACGGTTCTCACTTATAAAAACGCCGACGACGCCGACCAACCGCAATGATGAGGGCATCACCAGGTCCCCGACGCGATAGTGAGTTTGGTGGTGGACATTGTGTGTCCTGTGGAATGCGGGCAGCGAGCTGTGGGTGGAACGGCTTCCTGAAGTGCGCTGTGTGGGGTTCGATTGAGGAGCTCGCGTGAACATGGGTTGGGAGGTTGGAGGAGGCGGGGGGGCCGGGGGGTGGGTCTTTTTGTAGATGGAGGTTGATGTGGCGTTGAGGGGATGGGTTCTGGGTCGCACCATCATACTGGACATGATGCGACACCGGCGTCGGAAGGACTATGGCAGGGACTTCGGGTTCGAGAACGGGGTTACAAAACACGGAGTCCGCCATAACGAGGTCGATGCGGATGAAGAGACGTGCCTCTATCTTACAGTCACCTTTGGATATGGCAAGAGGCTCCTTAGGCAGGTGATCGTCTTCGCGCGGAAGGTGGGCATGGCAATCCCCGACCGTTGGGTCGGAGGTTCGGACGTCTTGTCAGACATCATCGACCTCCTGGTGTCTAACATGCCGATGGGGTTCGCAAGCCGTCTCAACGAGCCGGCAATGTACGTCGTCCATGCTGACTCTGCTTTCGACGATCGGTCATACTTGCATGGTGAAGTGCGGATCGTCCTCGACAACTTTTACTGACGTCATCGACGACACACACGGCGTGAGTGACAGGAGATGTCTCCGTACAACGCAGCTCCGCCGATTTTCGTTTTCCTTTTCTGACTCTCTCGTGTGGATCGACGCATGTTGATGACCGGATTATCGGGCTCTGGCGAGAGAGAGAGAGAGAGAGAGAGAGAGAGAGAGAGAGAGAGAGAGAGAGAGAGAGAGAGAGAGAGAG